TATCTGGGACGTCTTTCTCTCCCGTTCACGCGCCTGCGCAGTGACGCCCGCAGAATAATCTGCTCGCATGATTGAATCGCTTGCAAATAATAATAAGCAATTAAAATGTCATGTATTATATAAACGTTAATTTATATAATTTATATGCAAAATAGTTATATCGATATCCATTAAAAAATCTGGTAGATATTTTAGATACGCGCGCATTCGCTTATATAGAATGTTCTGACATAATAAAATATAATAATATTATACAATAAAATATAAAGTAATATTATTAAATATATGTTAGAAAGGAAAAAATCATATTATACGAAAAAAAAAAATAGTCTATAGAATAAAGCATATGGATCGTGTTGCATCAATATTATTATTCAGATTTTACCTGGCGATTGGTTTGAGAGAGATAACGCGAGCAAATATGAGAAGATTAGATAGCTGGTATACAAAGAACAATGTATGGTGCATTTAATCTTTATGCGCAGCGTCCAAGAAACAATGGAAAACTAATCCACGATTATCGAACGTTTCTATTTTTATTTTTTCCCCTACAGATTTTGACGAAAGCATTATTATATAATTATACACCATTTATGCTCTCTTGAAGAACAAAAACCAGCAATTTTGCGATTATTCTTTAGATATGTAAATGTCTTCCATTGTGAGAAGAAGAAAAGGTAAATATTCACATAAGGTCACCATCTTCAAAAGTCAATGACCTTGACATATGTTATCAAGGTCACTGTTTTGAGTAACATGCAAGAGGTTTTAGCCGTCACTCGTTGTTTATTAAAAAGTTATTAACAAAAGAATTTCTACGAATCATATGCAATTTTCAGACAACGTATGTTTTATAACATAAATTTCTACTAGATTCATTCATTTATGTGTGCTAAATTGAACGCGTAGGCGTAGAAAGGTAGAGCCTCTCTCCCTGCACCCTTCCCTCCGAAAAAACTAACCTAACGGAAAACTAATTTTAATTTGAAAAAAATAGGTTTGAGTTATGTTAGTTTAGTACAACTTTCCACGCAAAGCAAGGTTGAACTCAAACCTATGTATCTAGTTTTTCGATAGTGGTGCCCCCCCCCCGTAGTGGGGGG